CATATGTTTCTTTCTCTCTCTCCCTTCCTCTCTGAAGTCAATAAAATATATATAGATATAGATATAGATATAGATATAGATATAGATATAGATATATAGATATATAGATATTAAAAGTATCACAGTCATGAAAAACAAGGAAAGACCAAGATACTGTTACAAATTGAAAGAGGCTATTAAGAAACTGAGACACAGACTGGAAGAGATAAAGGAGAAATACTAAATATAATGTGGGATCCAAAGAAACCCCCTGGAACACAATAAGAACATTAGTGGGAAAACTGGTAAAATTCAAATAAGGTTTGTAGTTTAGTTATTATCAATATTAATTTCTATACCCTAATAATTATACTAAGGTTATGTAGGATATCAACATTAGTGGATATAGGCCTGAGAGATATAAAACAACTGTGCTATTTTTTCAAGTTTTCTGTAAGTCTAAAATGAATCCAAAATAAAAAGTTACAAAAGAAACTGATAATGAAGATGTTTATTTACTAATATAGAAAGGCATTAATAATATACTAGAGGCCCGGTGCACAGGTAGGGTCCTTAGCCCTGGCCAGCGATCAGGGCCGATCGGGATTTCCTTCCCCAGCTGGCGGCCAGGGCGTTCCTTCGTTCCACACTGCCCCCTGGTGGTGAGTGCACATCATAGAGGGTGGTCAAATTCCTGGTCAGTGGAACTCTCCAGGGGACAATTTGCATATTAGCCTTTTATTATATAGTTCAGTAAAGTAGGTTACAAAGCAATATGTATGAAATCTCATTTGGATTAAATATTAATTGTATTTACATGGGGGGAAATCAGAGGGAATATATACCAAAATGTTAACAGTTGTGGGTAGTGAGATTTTAGAATATTTTCATGGACTCTGTTTGTATGTTTGCTTACCTATGAATAATATCTTTACAGTGCTTTCATATTAGGGGGATAATTTTTTATTATAAAAATTAAAACATTTTACAAAACCTTTTTTAAAAAACTGTGCCTTCCAGCCTTGGCTGGTGTGCCTAAGTGGTTGAAGCGTCAGCCCACGCACAGAAGAGCCGCAGGTTCAATTTCCAGCCCCAGGCAGGGTGAGTTCAGGATTGGGAGGCAACCAAACGATGTGTCGCTCTCATGTCAATATTTCTCTCTCTCTCCTCCCCAACCACTTCCACCCTCTCTAAAAAACTGATGGAGAAATATCTTCAGGTGAGGATTAACAACAAAAAAACACCAAACAACAATAACAAAAAAACCTGTGCCTTCCAGCCCTGGCTGGATGGCTCAGTTGGTTGGAGCATCATCCCATACACCAAAAAGTTTGCTTTTGTTCTGTTTGATTGCTCTTAGTAATTTTTCCAATTTAAGAATAAAATTAATAATTCTTTATTCAATCCCCAGATTTTTTTTCCAGCATCTGGAATTAAGGGAAGGTTTTCCTAATTGTTCTCTGAAAACAAGTTCTCACATCATTTAAATTCCCAAACATTCCAAATATTTCCCTCATCCCCAGGGACTTACTTGGATGCTTGTTTAGGAACATCATTCTGAAAAAGAAACTTTAAATATAGTGTATAACTCTTTTTCTAATTCTTCTGTTTTGAAGTGGTAACAACATCTGGAGGCTCTACAAGTGGTCATGTGGCAAGTACTAGGTTAGTAATTGAAGCATCTCTAGCACCAAGAAATCTTTTGGTTATACAATGTTTTCTTGTGATACCATTTGACAGGTTCATAAACATAAGAAAACAACAACCCTAGTTCAACTGCTTACACCATAGGGAAATCCTACCCTATCTGATAATTGGGTCTCAAGCCTGTCAAAACATTTCCTTTCAGCCAACTTCCATTCTTACAGCTCACAATTAACCCAAAATCTACCTTCCTGTAACTTTTAGCCTACACTGCCTGAAATGATCCAATACAATTTACTCTGCTATTTTACCCAATACAAAACATTTCCTCTCCGTCAACTTCCATTCTTACAGCTCACAATTAACCCAAAATCTACTTTCCTGTAACTTTTAGCCTACACTGCCTGAAATGATCCAATACAATTTACTCTGCTATTTTATCCAGCAGCCTTTCAAATAAATTAAGGTAACTATTATATTTCTCCTTAGTCTCTTCATTTTGAGACTGAACTAGAACACAGAAACTAAAGAAATGTGTCCATTCCTAATGACATAGTATCCAGACGGTTCTCCATTTATGGAACATGTACAATATGCCTCCACACAGGGGAGTAGAACTATTTATTACCTTTCTTATCCAGAGCACTAAATTGCTTTAAAAGATCGTGTTTTTTTTTTTGCCAGCCATATCACATTATGACTTAGTGAGCTTGCAGACAATTAAAACCCTAGTTCAGAGGTCCTCAAACTTTTTAAATAGGGGGCCACTTCACTGTCCCTCAGACATTCCACACATGCGCACTGCGGGCCCGGGACGAGTCGGCTGCTAAGCAGGACAGGCAGCGGCGGCAAAAACACCCGGCAGGCCAGATAAATGTTTTCGGCGGGCCGCATGTGGCCCGCGGGCTGTAGTTTGAGGACCCCTGACCTAGATCAATCACATATAATTGTGATGAAAGATAGAATTTACTGTTATTTACTTGAGTGTAGTTCATCTTCTAATAGTTTACTTAATGCCATTCTTCAGAATAAAGTCTATTTGACTTGTTTGGAAAGTGGAGCTATAACTACTTAATGTTTCTTTATGGACTACCTTTTAAAATGCCTTTGAACTTTTGCTATTTAGGAGTAATGACATTAGCCACAGAAGGACAAATCTATTAATTTATCCACTGGTGGTGGTGATTGTTTTTTTAATACAGTACACACTTATTCTGCCTTAGGAAGAGAATATGAGATATGTACCCCAGAGTTTAGGAAAGCAGATTTCATTCATCAAAAGACTTCAAGGAAAGCCTAGAAAATTAGAGCATGAACTTATGGTTGGAGGAGAAAAAGGAAGAGAATGGTTTAAGAGGGACAGTATGTTCTCAAAGCCATATCCTGACTGCATGTTTATGTATTTCAACAGGGAAGAAAAGAGAGGGACCTTGTTTATCACATGACTCTATATTTGTCCCAGCCTATTTTATCAATGCCATGAAGACATAGTCCTTATCATATTTGCCAACACAAGGCTTGCAGGGATAAAAAATTCTCCTTAGGCTGATATTGCATTGAAACTAATAA